TAAATGGCTCGAAATGCAAGCTCATGACATTCTCTCGTGTCGTTCCTAAGCTTGCTACTTACACGCTGAACTGCTGCTCTTTGGAAAGAATTAATTCTGTTGACGATTTGGGTGTCCGCTTGGACCCAAAACTTGACTTTATTGATCATATTTCGTCTATGGTGAATAGACCCAGGGGTGTGCTTGGATTTATTAAACGGTGGTAGAAGGAATTCAATGACCCCTATGTTACTAAATCCTTATATACTTCCTTAGTTTGTCCTATCTTAGAATATGGATGCTGCGTTTGGAGCCCTCAGTAATAAACTTACCGTCCTTAGCCAATCGTAGAACGATGCTAGGGATAACCTTTATTTTTAACCTTATACATGGTGATGTGGAAAGTGCTGACTTGTTGAGTCACCTTAATTTCCATGTACCATGTAGAACAACTAGATCCTATATCCCATTAGTGTTGTGCCACTGTAGAACCTCCTTTGAACTTCATGAACCTTTTAGAGTGTTATGTGCAAATTATAATGATTTGTACTAACTAATCTCTAACGTAGATACCCTTCCCAAATAAAAATCTTTAATACTAAAACACTTAGTAAGCTAACAATCTGGCAGTACGCCGGTAGTCTATTTCGTCGTATTCTGTCCTATATTTTACATCGCGCCTACTAACGCCTAACCCAAACAGGCACGTGCCTGGTGTCATACGGGCCACTTGAATGTACTGACCTTAGTGCATCAACGTCCATAATAATGTCTCAGCAGTCTGTCGCTGTATCGGCTGGTGTGACGACCGATCTGCTCCTCAATGGTATATACGTCCCTGTGTAATGTGGAGCCTCGCACATACCAGGGGCAGCCCGTTATTTGCCTAAGTGCTGGGTTTTGCAGAAATTGGATGTGTTTATGGTTAGATTTAGCCGCAATCCCCAATATTTGTATGCCGTATAACCATATTGGGGCTATGCAATGGGCATACACAGCCCTCTTAGCCCTAAGTGACGTGGTCCTCCTTTTGTTTACGAGCCATCGCAGTTACTGCATTTTTTGGCCACACTTTTTCTTCGTGGCTGTGAGGTGTGGATCAAATGTAAGGCGTTTGTCGAGTGTGATACCCTGGTACTTGGCTACATTCGGCTGCTCTAAGGTAACTCCTTCCAGCTGAATAGGGAGCGTGGTCGATCTTAGCGTTTTCAGCGTGAAGCATGGTATCTTTAGATACCATGGATGGTATTTTCAGATACCATCTCCTACACCAATCTGCCAGATTGACAAGATAGCCCTGCAATCCGCTAGCGGCTTCTGCGTGGTTCTTAATGTTGTACAGAACAGCCACATCGTCTGCGCATATGGCAATTAATGCTTTTGAGGGCAATTTCATAAAGTCGTCATTGAGCGTAAGTATATTTGCAGTGTAAAGCGAGTATAACAGAGGCACCCCTGCTCTTATGGACCAAACAGCTGAGTCTGTGTCTCTAATCCTGACTTTGAAAACATGTCGATCCAGATATGACTTAAAGAGTCCATAGTATGGTGCTGTCAATAAGTTGTTTATCTTGCATGGCAAGCCATCGTGCCAAACTCTGTCAAATGACTGTTGCATATCAATGAAGATTTCGTTGCAGTATTCCTTGTCGTCAAACGCCTGGAGGATATGTAGTGCAAGTCTATGGACCTGCTCCACTGTGCCGTGTCCCTGTCTAAATCCAAACTGGTGGTCCGGAAGTAAGTGTTGCTGATTTATGACTTTTTATGACGGAGCCGGACGGCAATTAGTCTCTCCCACACCTTTAATAAAGCAGGGAGAAGATTTGTGGGGCGATATGACTCAAAATCTTTCCCCGGTTTACCTGGCTTATGGATCAACAGGATTGATGCCATCTTCCACTGCTTGGGATAAGCCTCCACTCTAATTATTGCGTTAAATATTAGCGCAATGTACAGGAGCGCTTTGGTTGGTAAAGCCTTCAGTGTGGCATAGCACTTGGGGCTTTGTTGTTCGGCAGTATCTTTGTTATGTCAGTAATCTCCTTAATCCTGATAGGGCGGATAGGCATGGACATCTGCAGTGGTGTCAGCAGAGTGTTCCGAGTCTTTCTTATATGCTGGAGTGAAGCAAACTCATTCGGAATGAAACGATCCTTCAGGTGTTGAGCGAACGCGTTAGCTTGCTCCTCCTCATTTTTTGCCTGTTCTCCGCCTGGGCACCTGATTGGAACTTGTCTGAATGGCTGTCTTTTCAGTGATTTAGTACACTTCCAAAGCGAATAATTTGCATCAACGGTGTAATCAATGTTAGCCAACTTTTGTTCGAAAAAATCACTTGGAAGTTCCTTCAGGACTTCGCGGAGTTGTTTCGCTGCTCTATTCCACAGAATGCAATCGCAAGGATCTTGGGATCGAATTGCTCGTCTGCGAAGGCGCCTTTCGATTTTGAGAAGCCCTCTGGCTTCTCTTGTGAGCACGATGCCTTAGTTCTTCTGGGCTGTCGGAGGGCATGGAGGCGTTGCCGCAGCAGCTGCCGTGTAAACTTTGGTGGTGAGTTGTCTATATCAGCCTCTATATCTTCCTCATTGTTCAGAGATTCATTAAGCTTGAATGCCGTGTCTAGATACTGCTTAAAGACCGCCAAGTTAGTGTGTTTAGTAAAAATTCGAGGACTGGAGTAATTGACTACTACTTCTGTTGTTATTGTGGCTATCAGAGCAAGGTGATCCGAGTCCAGATCCCAACAGTGGCTTATTCTGCTTTGATGATCCGGTATACAGTGGTGCACAGCGAAGTCTATGCAGGACGGCTTGTGGCTGGGTGCATATGGATACCTAGTGGGCGATCCTGTTGCGAGTATTTTGTTACCACAGGCAGATATGGCGTCAGCTAATTCTATCCCTCTTGTCGACGCGCATTCCAGTCGCCGCCAATCAGGTATCTGTGGCCGCAATTTCTAAAGATGTCTGTAAAATCTTTATCGAGTAGTCTATTTCCAGCAGGACAGTAGAAGGCACTAACCTCCATATCACCGAGCCCGGTGACTACCTTAATTGAAGACATTTGGATAGTTAATGTCTCAATGACTTTTTGTAGAAAATGTTTTAGTGAGGTTTCTACCAGAACCGCTGCTCCACCTACGCTCCTATTATTGTGAGATGGTTTATAAGCTGGGTAAATGACATAGCCGTGTACTTTGATGGTGGTTCCCCTGTTTAGCCGTGTTTCACTCAAAAGGATAATGTCAACGTTATTATTGTGCGCAAAGAGCTCAATTTCTTTAGCTTTTCCTGCGATGCCATTGACATTTCTAATTAAAATCTTAAGAGTACCTATTGTGTGTTTGAGGCGTTGTTCGGGATGTGGGGGTTCGAGGAATCCCCATTCCGTTGCTTAATCGTTTTTATCAGTTCATATACCATACTTTCAAGCCGGTCTAGTCTTTGACCATTTTGCTCGGTCAGTTTATGTTGGTCATGTTGCTGCTGTTGCAGAAACCATAGTAGTTGCTGTTGTTGTTGTTGTTGCTGTTACCCCTTGATCAACTTTGACAACCACGTTATCCAAACTCGACGCATCGCTAATGATTTGAAACAAATCGTTGAGGTTGGTGATGCTGACTACAATTTGCGGTGGTTTAGGTGTGGGATGCAGTTGACTGTTGCCAATCTGCTGTGGGCTCGTCTCTATTGAAGAGGCGATATGAACATCAACTGGTTCACTTGTGTTAATTTCACTAGTATTATCACTCTCTTCATCGCATTCCATATCTAAAAGGGCAAAACGGTTAGTATTATCTACATTGTTAGTTACTGACGTATTTAGTTAGTTATATTTGAACTTTTGGGGCTCATGTTCGGAGAGATCGGTTTCTTTCGTTTATTTAATTGAAGCTTTTGAGCATCTCGAAGCGGCTCCACTTGGGCGCATTGGTCGCAGCTCCACTTAACATTGGAGTTGAGGTGATAGGTGATACCATTCGTGCACCATGTCCAGCACTGCTAATTGTTACAGTTGCTGTAGTAACTATGGAGCTACTAGTGGCGCTAGTGAAAGTGATTGTTGTTGTTAAAGTACTTATGTTGTGAGTACCAGGCAGGCGCTGAGGGCCCAAAAGCTCTGCTCTGATTTCCGACGGAATTTTACCCGCTACTCAAAGCATTTCTTCATAATCAATCTGCTTATTGCTAAGCTGCGAGTCAGAAAAAATGTTGCACCCATTGCAGCTATAAAACTAAATTGCTCAAAATTGGTGTTTTAAGCAATCTATTACACATTTTCTGCAGATGCAAAAGTAGGTCCGATCAAAACAACTGATGACACAAAGATTTACCTCCCTTCTGTGCGGCTGAGCGCAGAGTGAGGGGAGATGCTTTGCCCAAATGGGTAGGTAAGCAATCTTATCAATCTGTTGTTTACTTTTTGTTATTGTCCAGCTGCCGACACTGTGCAAGACAGTGTCCGAAAATTATCGCTTAATCCCTTTTGCACACGATAAGCAATAGATCAATACGAATTGTCCGCGACACAACCGATCTCAACAAGAAATTTTAGTGAAATTGAAATGAATTTGAACAGATTGAATATTGGAATGCCGTTTATTGATGTATTCGCCGATATGGAACAGAAGGCGAGTAATCGCATGCAGCAACGCCTTTGCCTCCCAATAACAGATTTTTTTCGTACTTTAAAGCCGGCCAGCTTGAAAAGCGCATTTTATTTATTCAATTTCCTTCCGTCTTGGTTTTAAATATATATAAAAAATAATGTTGCTGGAATATCAAAGCCGTTCAGTTTTTTGATCCGGCAACGCTTTACACTTTTCGCTCGTTACATTTATCTTATGTTAGAACCCTCCCTAACAAATAATCAGAAAGTTTTCATACATGGAGTTTGTCCCTTGAAGAATATTTATCTTATGTTAGTACTTATCTTAAAGCTGAAAAACAATCGATTGTATATGAAACTATCGATGGTTATCCAAAACCGGGAACAGTCAGTATCGATGGTATTATCCATTGTCTTCCACCTCTATATATATTACTTATATTTCTAGAATTGGGTAATTTCACTTTTGTTTTAATGTGTGGAATTTTGTGTGCTGTTTCTCATGATCCTAATTGGAATCTTAGAAGTCTGATCGAGGTTCTTAAGAGCACTATAAAAAATCGTGGCCCTGACAAACAGGACGAAGTTATACTCAGTTTTCAAACTGGAAGTATTTTACTAGCTGGCAGTGTCTTATGGCAACAAGGAGCCAATGTGCAAAAGCAGCCCATAGATAAAGGCGATTTTTTAATTTTATGTAATGGAGATTTCTACAATTTACAGAAACCTGATAACATTTCTGACACTCTGTTTATAGCTAACAGATTAGCTGAGTGCATTAATGCAGAACAGATAATATCTGTTCTAAAGTCTTTGCAAGGACCACATAGTTTGTTAATATATGACAAAAGTAATCAAATACTTTACTTTTCCCGTGACACACTTGGAAGAAACTCATTAATTATTGAACGCACCCAACATGGTATTAATTTATTGAGTGTATCAGGCTTCTTTAATAACAATCAATTATCAATAGAACTGCCTCCATTGGGTATTTATCAAATGAAAGTTAATAATTTAACGTCATGTGTTGTTCATTTATGGCAGCCACTGAATGAATACTCGGAACAGCTTTTATACAACCTTGATGCTAAAGTTGGCTTGAAAACTACAGTAGAAAGTATCATTTCACCAAATTGGCTCTTAAAAAAAAAATCTAAGATTGATTACGACTTCTATAAAACTCCTTATAATACTGATCATGTGGAGCTTTATGAAAATCTTATTAGTCAACCAAAAATTAAAGCATCACTCAACGCTTTTGATAAATTACTTTCCAAGTCTGTAGCAAATCGTGTTGAATGCACGGCTCCATTATGCCGCATTTGTTTAAGCGCACTTAATACAAAAAAAACCGTGTGCAGGCATGCCAAAATATGCATTTTATTTTCTGGTGGAATCGATTGTACCATCTTGGCCTTTCTTGCCAACAAATTTGTGCCCCATGATGAGCCGATAGAACTTATTAATGTAGCTTTCGAAAGCCTTGGCGGTCAAAACGTATCTGAGAAACGTTGGGATGTACCTGACCGCAGAACTTCTTTAATGTCTGCGAACGAGCTTAAGAGTGTCTGTCCTGAGCGGTTCTGGAATTTCCTTGAAGTTAATGTCACTCGTGACGAGTTAAAAACACAACTTTCAACACGTATAAAGAACCTCATTTATCCACTTCAGACAATATTGGATGAAAGTTTGGGATGTGCCTACTGGTTTGCTTCAAATTGCTCAAATTCAACTGCTCGAGTAGCCTTGATAGGTAGTGGCGCAGATGAGTTATTTGGTGGTTATTGTCGTCATCGAAATGCATATAAACGTTGTCTAGGAAGCAGATCTGAGCGCCAACTTTCTGTGCAAAAAGAGCTTGATTTTGACTGGCAAAGACTACCAGCTCGGAATTTAGCTAGAGATGATCGAGTTATTGGCGACAATGGCAAAACGGCGCGTTCACCATTTATCGAGGAGAACATTGTTGAATTTGTTAGATCCTTAGAACCATACCAAAAATGTTGCTTTAATTTTCCCGAGGGTGTCGGTGATAAATTGCTTCTGAGACTGTATGCCTATAAAATAGGTCTGCGAGACGTGGCCTTGATAAAAAAGAGAGCAATTCAGTTTGGATCCAGAATTGCAAATAAAAAGGAGAATGCTTCAGCTCAGTCTGAACACCTTAAATTTTATATTTAAACTCCTTATTCTATAAATTATTTTAATAAAATTACACTACTTGTCTCGATTTCCTCGAATCAATTTCTATCTGCGTTTTTAGATTATTTAATGAATGAAGAGCTGATGTAAAATCAAGGAGCCCAAAGAAGTTGGGTTAAAAACTATATTTTCCAAATATATGTTTATCACCTAATTATTATTTTTTGTTGACGTTCAGTTTCGAAAATATTTAATTTTAAACATTTTCAGTTTTTCAAATGATGAAAAATACTTAAAAAATGTTTCTCACTTGTTAAATTTGAAACCAAAATTTAAAAAATCTAAAAGTTTACTCATATCAATTTTTTCTTTTAAATTAAAATACACTTTTTCCCCACCTTTTAAAATTTTGAAAATTAGAGCTTTAAAATACATAAAACAATAATATTTTATATGATAATTATTGATAAAATATATTGTTTATGCACGATATCACATTGGAACATTAGGGTTCAAAGCGTGCGATGTGTGAAAAATATGCGAAGAAAATGTTTTCAATATTTAATGCTTTCGAGCAGAAGCACACACATTCGCGCACACATACGAAATTGAGGGTCCCTGTCCTGCAGTACCAGTCATGAGTAATTCATCAACATTTCATCAACAGTCAAGGCGGTGTTGATGATTCATCGATGAATGGTCATACAAATTGTTGATGAATTTAACATGGGCATGTCCACGGTACAATTATAATTATTATTATAATTGTAGCATGGGCATGTCTTATGCTGTCATCAACAATTAATCGATGATTCATCAACAATACATCGATGTTTCGTCAACGGCCATGGTACTGCCGACGACTACCGTCGTAACTGTATCGTGGGCAGAGCGTCGAAGCAGAAGTCGCCAGACAGTCGATGACAGTGGCCTATTGATGACATGCGCTACTGCAGGGTGCCCTGTCATGTAGTGTACACATACGCACTTCCTTGTTCTTGTGTTTTCTTTTACACAAGCGCGATTGTCAGTGCCATCAAAAGATAGCCCCATATTGGAAAACGAATGTTTTGGACTTTACTCATCTTATTAATTCTATTGTCTTTTAAACCAAGTATTTTAACAAAAAACGCTTGTCAACATCATAAAACTAAATTCGTTTGCCATTCATTTTAAAATTATATTATTGTTTGCCCATCCTCTAAAAGTAAATACTAAAAAAATATGTTTGACCTCCTCTAAGATTTAAGTATAGCAACACGATTATGGTTTATGAAATTGAATAATTTCGAAACTAACCGTGTGCAAGAATTTCGAAAATAAAATTTTTTCCAACTCGGCTCCTTTAACCTTAACCGGGGATGTTTGTCCCCAAGCAATCCACCCGTGTGAAACATTTTGTATTTTTCGCAGATTAAAAACTGCGATTCGTAGTGAATGGTCAAATTTTTACCGACAAGACGAAGACCCACACCCGAAAACTATCGTCAAAATAGGTTTAATCAAATTCGAATTGACAACGGATTGAGAACAAAGTGAGAAATTTCGGAAGGCAAAACTTTGTGGACCATCCGTTCAACGGATTAAGGAAGGCAGATAGATCTCTATGGGAAGACAATATAACTTTATTAACTTACCATTTATTTTTATACCCTTGCAGAGTATTATAATTTCAGTAAAAAGTTTGCAAAGCAGTGAAGGAGTCACTTCCAACTAGATAAAGGATAAATTCTTGATTAGGATCAACAGACGTGTCGATTGAGATATGTCCGTCCATCAGTCCGTTTGTAAGCAAACTAGTCTCTGAGTTTTAAAGTTATCTGAATGAAACTTTGCAGTTAGTCTCTTATATATACATATGGCGGACGACTATATCAAATAGCAATCATAGAAACAATCGGAAAATGTTTGAAAAAAAAATTATTTTACAATTTTAAACATATTTTCATGTCTCCGTTTGGAAGGGAAATGCTTCAAAAATAGGTTTTCAGTTTTGTTTGCAGCTTGCTTCTTAATGCGTCCGTTATATGGCTCCAAATAGAGACTTGGGTTATTATGCAGGACATCGTAAAGCCGCTTTCACGCACAAAGTCATTTGCCGCCTGGGATATGTGTCCACTGTACCACCATATAGTTTATATGACGGTTCGGACCGAAATACAGAAGCAGTTCACTTGGCTCTCTGCCTGCATCAGCATGACCTACGCCGCTTCATAAAGATTCAGATTAAGCTGAAAAAGTTGTATAGTTATGTTGTTTTACGACCGGAACTACTGCTTCAGAATCGGCATTTTTTCCTGCCTGCCTAATGCATCAACATTTAAGGGGGTAGACCACCCTGACAATTTTGAAAAATCGCTATTTTTTGTTTTACATAATTTTGATAATATCTCATCATTTGTCGATATTACAGCCATCAGAAGTGAGCGCTAGAGGTGGAGAACTATCGATAGTCGTCGCCATCGATAGTGAGCGATTATTTTTCTCAAACCATCGATAGTGTCGATAGTACTATCGGTAGTGTTATGCTTTTGAATTTTTAGATGTAAAAAAAGCTATAAAATGAAATTTGAACAAAACTTTATTATATTTTTAACTCTTTAAAAATAAAAAATTAATTTATTTATTTATTTTTTTGATTAGGGATTGTATAAAAAGTACATCGTCGAACTGTGTATTCGAGCGGAAAAGAAGTACAAAACTAATTCTTTTTTAAAAAGAGCATTAGGAGATTTTTACTTTCAGCTATACTTTAGCTTTTCACTATATTTTGGCGTTCCACTTTCAACTTTATTTTTTCTTTGTGATGTGATAAGCCGCGTGAAAAACTATCGATAGTGCAGGGCTGCCATCGATGGCGGTGCGATAGCGCCAAACCATCGATAGTGTCGATAGTGCCATCGATAGCTCTCCACCTCTAGAAGGAGTCGGACTGGTGATTGATAGAATCGAAAACGTTTCCGTCTCTGTAAAGACTTTCCAAAGCTAATTATAGAGACGGGCAGATGCTGGAGCAGAAGCAGATAGAGGAGAAACACTGCATCTGCAATATATAAAAATTACTGTGCAAAGATAAAATCAGCCACTACGTGCTGCATACACATACATACATGCATATGTATGTACCTAGCAAAGACTTCAGACTGTTAGTGTTCGTCGAGCTTCCATCCATAGCCAAATATACTATTGAAGTTTTCATAAATCAGAGGTTACAGTACGGTATGGATAAATACTGTTTTAAAATAGGGAGAGATAAAGAGCGAGAGGCAAATAGTTTTAAACTGCTGTTTGGTGACACCGGGGTAGGAAAAATAATACAAACTTAATAAAACAAGCTGTTCTCGATCATTTGCCGCTCCTTTTCACTTGCAGCTTCTTCACATATTTTAAGTCAAAAATCCCGCCATGTTCGTAAAAGATGAATTTAGAAGTTCAGAAGAGATGATACAGTTTAAATATTTAAATTAGTAAAAGGGAAACACAATATTTCGAGTTTTTGGTAATTATATTAAATTGTAAGAAAGAAGGGAACAGTAAAGTGATTTATATATTAGAAAAATTAAGATTAGCAAAGACAAAATGGGAAAGCTCCATAGCTCGACTTTTCGATCTGAGAGTTTTTCATCCACGTGGTTCAGATTATTATTATCAATTGCCAGACATTTGTCAAGTCGATATCTTTGATCATGTTGGATTCCAATTGATTCGGTTGCCATAGAGGTGGAGAGCTATCGATGGCACTATCGACACTATCGATGGTTTGAGAAAAATAATCGCTCACTATAGATGGCGACGACTATCGATAGTTCTCCACCTCTAGGTTGCCAGCCTTATCCGGGACTGACCCGATGGCTACGCCGAAGGAGTACATACGTTTGGCCACTAGTGTAACCATGTTCTTTCATGAAGCGGACACCGATCAACCCGTATCGTATCATTGAGTTCCTTCTATAAGTACTCCAGATTGCTGTCATATTAAGAAGTCTGGGAGCTGTACACTGGAGACGACACCGCTTGAATACATGCCAATCGCTTTGGTACAAATCTTAATAAAAGATCAAGCATTTCACACTTCGCGCTACTTTATTTTTCCAATGTGATGCGTAATAGACTTCTGCATGAATATTCTCATTTGCAGCACAACAGTACTGTACAGTAGTGTAGTGTTCTTAAAAATACTGCACTCATTTCTTACTGTACAGTATTCTCAGTAGGCCAGAAAAAATAGCACAACATTTTCAGTGTACCCACTCCGAGTGAGAGCAGTAAATGGTTGTACTCTTCCTAAGTGAGTACTGTATTTGTATCAGCTGTACAGCTGTACAAGCTGTTAGTTGACTGTGTACTCCTGTCAGATGAGTGCAAAGGAAAACGACATAGAAATAGTTAAAAAATTCAAACTTTCGCTTTTAGAGTACTTAGATTCAATAGTCATAGAAAATTAAAAAAAATATCACAATATTGCCCTGTTTTTGTTTCCACCCACTAATAAACTAAATTAACTAAATTCTCTGAATTAGAAAAGGAACAAACTTTTAAAGACGTAGATGAAATTATGAAAAATTAATTAAGCCTGCACAAGTCATAATAATAAGATAAGATAATATATTTGCCGATTAGTCGGAACCTGTTCGGAGTACTAATATTTTGCAATATATTCAGGATGAACTTTAAACAAATAAAAATATAAATAAAGCTTACAGTGAAGATTTTGATGTTCTGCAGTGGTGGTCAATTAATAAAGACCGTTTTCCTTTACTGTATCAAATTAGCTGCAAGATATTAGCAGGCTCCCGCGAACTAAAATTGCCACTACTGAAGACTTGGTAAATAAAATAATAATAATTTTAATTTTTATAATTTAAATATAAATTCTTTAATAACATAAAATAATTATTATATCTATTTTTAAATCAAGTATTATTATTTTCTAAATTTTTAATTTCTTTATTTTATAATAAATACATTTGAAACGAAAATACAAATCAGTTCTTTAATCGTATTCTTTCTATGACATACATAAACACGAGAACTCTATATGTGTGTATGTACCAGGCATGAAGTTTCACTCACTGTACAGTAAGTCAACTGCACAACAAAAC